GTTGGTTTAATCATGGGTTTATATAAAAAAAAGAAAATTTTGTGTTATTGTAGAGAGTCTATCATGTAGGTTTATGTCAAGCTTGAAAGCTATTATCCGTTTCCTCGTGTTTAAATCGTGAAGCCTCTAGTCGAAGTGTCTCTTGCTCGTGTAGTCTGCAATTTGAAGTAAATACCAATATCCTGTTACAAGAGAAACTCCTTTTGAGAGAAATATTTTATTAAGGACTTTGAGCTTCAAGTTTCTGGTGGAATACAGGGGGCTCAAGATTTAAAGAAGGCGAAGCTATACTGTAGAATTGGCAAGGAGGTTGTATCTGCGTAAGTCTTCAACCTTTTTTTCTATGTAACTTTGTTGGATTCAAATTTTTTGATTTGTTATGAAAAAAAGTATCTTGTGTGGGTTTATTATCATCATGCAGTGTCAAGAAAGGGGGTCCAAACCCAGTTTCAAATACTGCTCTAGCGACCATACTTGATAAAGCAAAGGTACTAGATGTACCCAAGGACATTGTGGAGCGTAATATTAAAAAGGCTTCTGAGAAGGGGCAAGAAGCTTTTATGGAGAAGATTTACGAGGTTAGGTCACAAGCTTCAGTTCTAGGTTATGTTTGCTAGTTGGACCGTTATGGTGAATCAGGATTTCTTTGTTCATATAACTGCTGAAATGCATTGGACAAGGGGTTAGTAATTGAAAACCTATTAATTGGTTTTAGATCATCACTAAACCTAACCAAGAATGTGGATACTGAACCTAACTCTACCTTTCACTACCTCAGCACCTAATTTGATGTGATGATTTCTTTTGCATTCTAAATTTCCATTTCGTCGTGCCATTTTTCTTTTGGGTCTGATGATAAGATGTGATGACTGAAACAAACTTGTTTTTAATGCTTTAGGTATATGGCTATGGTGGAGTTAGTATGGTAGTCGAAGTCTTAACAGACAAAATCAATCGATCAGTGGCAGCTGTTAGATCGGTTGTTAAGGATTATGGGGGAAAAATGGCTGATTCAGGATCTGTCATGTTCAAGTTTAGACGAGTTAGGGTAGTGAATATAAAGGTCACCGAAGCTGACAAAGATCAGCTCCTTATTATTGCTTTAGATGCTGGAGCAGAGGATGTTATTGAGCCCCCAACTTATGAAGATGATACTGATGAAGATAGGGAAGAAAGGTATGTACAATATAATACGTGCAAATCTCTTTGAAAACCTGAATTTCTCTGCATTTATTTTCTTCCTGTCAGTATTATGTTTTCTGTTGGTGATGAAACCTATGTTGTGTTGGAGTCAGAGCTAGTCACTTCCTTTTAAATAGGTTAGAAATTTCTTTCACGATTGGATCTACAAAGTAATCAAGTGACTGAAGATAGATGTTGCAAGATGTTTCTTTTGCTTCTATGTATACTGTACACATGTATATAGACCTAGTGCATTTTCTTCTCATAAACAGGTTGTTATAGTAAAAAATTATGCAATGCGATATGAAACAAGAAAATGAATATCCGTCTTGCCAATTATATAGAGGGTGTGATGAGAAGATTCCTAGATGATCACAAGAAGTGAACTTTTGATG